GTGTACACGGTATCATTGATAATAGGAACTCTGATGCTAATTGGACCGCGAAGTATGACGACGATTTTTCGCTCACGACGAACATGTTGAAAATTTACTATTCGTGATTTTAATTGTTTTCAATTTAAACGGATGTTATTTATCATTATGCACTTTTAATTTTTTATGTATTATATTATATAATATTATATATATACACATAACATACGCTACGATACTAAACTTAGAAAATGTAAACAAGATACGATGATTTGTCGAATATTATTTTTCTTATATTTTTCATCGAGTAGATTTTTTTTTCTTCTATCTCTCTCTCTTTCTCTCTCTCTTTCTCTCTCTCTCTCTCTTTCTCCTCTTTCAGCTTATCGCATACGTTCTAAGAAACAAACGTGTTTCTTTCGAGTTATTTTTCGTAGGAGGTAAACACACGCGATATGATGTTCTCTCCTCTCCCCTCCCCCTCTTACAATAGTTCAATCCAAATACTGTGGTTAACATAAATATCGATTCGTATCTGTCGTCTTCTCTGTCTTTCTCGTGACGGTGTTGTGTTGTGTTGTGTTGTATTACGTAATTCTTTACGAAGAGTATTAGTCATACTAAAAACAATAAGTCCCAATGTGATGCAATACACCGTGTTCTTTTCTAACGTGCTTGTGAATGTCGAGATTAGAAACTGTGCAAAAGCCCAGGAGAATTTGTCAGTTGACGATGATGATGATGGGATACCACGCGTGTGATTCATAAAACATGTTACGAGTTATTTTCTTTTGACTTATATTTTTATTTTATTTTTCGATCAAAGGATTATCTTTTCGACCTTGACTCGACGTTGGCTGATGTGTTGTGTTTTTTATTTTTTCTTTTTTTTTTCTTGGTCTTTTTTTTAAACCATGAATTAACGTTTTAATTATTTTGTTTACTATTTTACGTTTACTCTTGACCAACTGTAAAGTTTGTTAAACTATATTTTATTTCAATGTTGATAATTTGTATCGATAATAGATATTAATATTTTACAGGTTTTTAACTTGTCTTTTATCAAAACCATTATCTGTTATACTATCATTAAAATTTTTATTTACACTTACACGCACGTACACGTGTATAGTACGCGTAGTATGCATGCCATATGTGCAGATAATTCGTACAAGTCATTTCGTCCGAGAGGGACAGGAAACGAAATATACGTAAATAAGTTATCGTAAACACGAGAGCGCCAGCTATTAAAAGTTATTTTTAAAACGTTCATTATCGTTGTCTGTGTGTGTGTTCGTGCATGCCGCGATTCGTTAATTAGTTGCGACGTAATCCGTTGCCCGTATTTGTTTCCTCCGCCTATCACCTAACGTGAGTCATGATCGTTCACTTTGTTTTTTTTTTTTTTTTTTCATTTATTTTTTTTCTTTCTTTTTCTTTTTACAGTTAGAAACACGGAGTTGAAAAAATATATTATAATAATATTTGTTGATCGTTAAACTATCGAACTGTGGGGGGGGGGAGTTTCTTCTTCGTATTTTAATTCAAAAGTTATATTATAAGATTTTTTAACCCTTTGAATGTGCTATGGACGCATATATGCGTTTGGTAAAAATTACTAACCTTATCATTCAAAGCATATACGTGTTTGTTAATATTAATGTAAAATAATTTAATATTTATATTAGTCAATTAAATTATATTCAGAAACTAAAACTTCAATTATTAAATATAATTTATTATTAGAATCTGGTTAATGATAAATTATTCTTCCTACAAAACATTTTAGGTAAAAGTATAAGTATTCAACACTCAAAGGGTTAAATAAGTAGTTAATTTAATATTGCTATAGATTACGATAAAATTAGGTTAATTCTCGGCGTTTGTCTAAAAAATAATACATTGATCGAATAAATTATGATCAAATGTTAGATTTATTTATTATTATTTTTTTTTAAATTACGTTAGTTTAAAACTATCAAGAAAAATACGTAGAAACTTCCTCCTTCTTCCTAATTAATATTACAATTTTTTTTTTAACGAAAATTGAAATTATTTATTTAAAACTATACTGTGTGTCTATTCGTACGTTCATCGAGAAGAAGAAGAAGAAGATCCATTAGTAAAGCAGCCATGTGGAATCATTGTAAAGCGGCCCATTTCTGGTAATAATATCGTTAGTTTTTATTAAAAGAGAGAAAGAGAGAGAGAGAGAGAGAAGAAAAAAAGTCATAAACTCAGGAGAAGTCATCTTCGTTAAACTCACGTTTTCATTCTTTCTCGTTTAAACAGTATGAACATCGTCGAGGACGATGATTATTATTGGCCGAGTTATTCGTCCGATTAACACCAAAATTGCACACCGCCTACGAGAAGTGAAGTGAGAATTAAAGAGAAGAGATATTTAATGTTACGTAAAATATATAGAAGAAGAAGAAAAAGAAAAACAACATTATTCCTCTCATAAAAGAATAATCATTCGATCTCGATAATGTTCTTGGAGGGATCGGTTTAGTGTTATCTTCGCACGATTATTATCATAACGATTAGGTCAACTGTTTTCTTCCCCACTTGTTTGGGATACCACTAACGTAGAGATTTTTTCCAATTGATTTCCGATAAGTTATCATAAATACCCACAGGGTAGAGGAATGAGGGGTTGGCTCATTTATTACGAATTATCATGTGTTTTTGTTCATCGATAACGAGTGCTTTTATAAATAGAAATAGATTATTGATATTAATAGTCGAGAAATTATGTAAAAATGATTATGAACAAAACAAAATGAGTTCTCCAATTACATTCGATCGCATAGCATAACACAAGCAAGACCCCTCCCCCCTTCTTCTAAACTCGTGTGTTTTTCATTTTGTTTTCCTTCAATTGCTGCTAGGAGGGGAGGCCACATTGATGGCGGGGTGTGGTGAGAAAAGAGGAGGGGGGGATGGGGGAGGGGACGAACGCGTAATATTTTCGTGACCCTTGCTTGACATTGCCAAAAATAACCGATACGGGCGACGATAGGACGATTTCATTCGAGTGGAGGCCAAGGTTAAGGTCGAGTTGTTTCTATCTCTCTCTTTCTCACTCTCGTTCTTCCTCTTCCTCTTCCTCTTCCTCCCCCCTTCTCCTCTTTTTCAACTATATCGCCGTTCTCTGCTATATTGTCTCTCAGTTTCTACTACGTCTGCTGCTGCTGCTGTTGCTTGTCTCTACTTGCATTTGACTGTTTGCACTGTTTGTTTGCTCGCTTGTCTCGTTTTCCGATGACACAATTTGCGTCATTCAATCAATAAAACGGTTTTTTTCTTTTTTTTTTTTAAACTTTACGATTGTTTTTTCACTTTTTTTATTCCATAATTTACTACGTATTTTCTTTTTTTTTTATTTTTATTTTTTGAAATCCGTTTATCAATTTTATCGAAAATTCACGTAATCATCATCGAGCGCGAGTTGTTGTTTGTTACAGTTTTTTTGTTTTGTTTTTCTTTTAGTCGAGTATTTTTGATTTAACATTTAACCTTACCACGCATGTTTATGGATACCTACTTTGTAACATATCGTATAACTGGGTTTTAACGTCGAGTTTTAACAATCTGGCCATTTTTTTGTTTTCAATTAATTCCGATTTTTATTTAAAAACGTAATTAAAATACGTTGAATAGTTCGTTGTGTTTAATCGCAATTAACTTCATCGATATTTAAATTGTATTCGTGAACTGATATTAACGATTGGAATTTGGACAGGAGGTAGAAGAATGGTATCTAAAAGAAAGAGAAGGTTTATGTTACCTACTACAAAATTGTAATAATAATTTGATACATTCCTTTTCTTTTACAGACACATCTATATATATATATATATATTCGATTTAAAAAAAAATGTATAATATAAATAAATGATTCCGATTTAAATTCATATATCTCGTAATATTTATAATAAATAATATATATTTATGTTGAATTAAAAAACAACAAAGTTTTGCTTTGATATGCTTTCAAATAATAATTTATCCGAGAGCATGGCATCTAAAAAAAACGAGGAGAGAATGAAAGAGAGAGAGAGAGAGAGAGAGAGAGAGAGAGAGAGAGAGAGAGAGAGAAAGAGAGATACTTTTACATAAATACGTTCTTATTCGTTTCAAAAAAGCTCGTTTCAAATAAAACGATTCCTTCTTACATCATCATCATCATAGCTCCTCGTAATTCTCGTTCTTTCACGTTGGAAAAAGAAACACACACATTTTATATATATATATCGTCGAGAGTCGATATTTTTAAAATTCATTTTTTTTTTTTTTTTTTCAAGCAAGTCCGGAAATCTGAAATAAAGAAGAGAGTACATACGTATAGCTTGAAAAGCTCCTAAGCTATAGCTCAGCACTCGTCCGTATCCTCGAGTAAATTTGTATACGTAAAAAATATATACCAATACATTTACCATATAAATGCGTGTATATATGTATATATATGTCTTTCGTTGTGTAGTAGTACGTATGTGTACGTATCTTACTAGTACAAACATATGCGTATGAGTTTTATCGCCCGTTTCTTTTGCCGCTTCCTTCTCGAGGGTTATCAAGGGATAGGAAAGAAGGGTGCGGAATTATTATGATTCACGAGAAATTCACTGTGTCCTCCTCCATCCCTCCCTCGCATCCCCTCAACCTTCTTCCTTCCTTTATACAAGCTTTTCCTGTGCAAGCCTTTCTTCAAATGGAATGTTTAGTTTCTCTCTTATTCTCTCTTTTCTTTAATCCATGTTTCTTTATTTCATTTTTACTCTATTCGTTAAATAATGAATTTGAAAAAAAAATCATGTCTTATTATTTAAATAATTAAGTAATCAATTTTTAATTAAAAATGATATTGAAAGGAGGAAATATTTTCAAACGGTAGACACACATACACACAGGTCTTTACAAAAGTCATTGATATATGTATTTGTTGACTGATTAATTGTTTTTCTAATACCTGTAATGATCAAAGTCGTAATAACCATGAATGTTGTTCATTTCAGGCAAAGCTGCGGTGCCAATGGCATCTTTTCTCGTCGTTTGGACTTCAGCGCATTTAACAGCTTACCCAGGACCAAATTGAACTCCTATCATATTAAGGTAAGAAATTTAAAACTACTAATTTAATACATCTAACGACACTATATTATAATATATTATATTATAATATGATAAGTATAATTCTATTCTTACAATGAATGGTCAAATGACCGTTTAAAAAAAAAAACATGTTTTAATATATAATAAGATTTTAGCTCATTGGATTAGGAAGAACATATTTTCTTTTATTTAGAAATAAATAATTTATATGTTAATGTTTTTGGTCAGTATATGAACTACATTACCATTACATTTGACCTCACGTTGATAGGTTTTTAGCGTCAACAAAATGACCATATTCAACTGAACGATAAATTTACGTAGGTTTGTTTCCCTAATTTATCTAAATGATATCAATCGTATGGATTCATTGGTTAACCTAATACCGTTTAATATAACAAAATAAATTTTCTAAAAATTGTTAAAACTTGTTGAACAAAGATATAGTTGATACCCAATGTTGTTTAATTATCACAACTATCATGCTATTCTAATTTATTTATCACTGATTGTTTCGCGTTAATAAATAAATAAATAAATAAATACAAATTCCTATATATAATAATGTACGAGAATAAAAATCGATTTGATAATTCGATCATTGCAAAAATAAGTTTTAATTATTGCAGTATTCGACTTTGATTCTGTTTACCATCAATACTTTTTATTCGTACGAACGTTCGAGATAACATAATTGAGATTAAAACCTAAAAAAAGAAAAAGAACGAAAAAGTTTAGCATTTAGAGTGTTACCAATTACTAAAGTTAGAATCAGAATAAATCATGCGAATATATCAGCACACCACCCGCATGAGGGTTCCTCCTCTTTTCTCTTTTTATTATCACCGATTAATCTCACGCGAAACCGATCGTTTTCTTGTTTTTTTTCTTTTTTTTCGCAAACAAGCATCGTTCCTCTTGTGCGCATCACGATCACGCCCTTCCGGAACGAATCCTTTCGCGCGTTGCGTCGTAACACTGTCGTCCTACCCCAAATACGAGGGAAAATCAATACCAACCCCCTTCGTCCGTCGTTGGGTGCTTTTACCCTGCACTTATTCTCGCATTTTCTGCACGTACGCATTTTGCTCTCCTACACACGCGCTTTAAATACTACTTCCTCGTTGAAATAATAACGTCATTATTTTCTTCCTTTTCTTTTTTTTTTTAATGCATTCTGGTTCCTTTTTTAATTTTTTTACATACGAATCATTCGACAATTTCTTTCGTTGTCAATAAAAATCGATCGATTTTTTCAATTAAAGAAAATAATAACAATAATAATAATAGTAAAAAGAAAACCAAAAGGGATAAATATTATTTTAATTATTTGACGTTTAATTCATTAAAATTAAAATTTCATAAATAACAAGCTTGCCATGATGAATATAAAAAATAAAATCGTCGATCCAGCGCGTACGTAAATTATGAATATTCGCAATAACGGAAAGGAAAAAAGGGGGGAAACAAAGTTTAAAAGAGAAATGATAAAAATGTACTGCGAGTACTTTTGAGGGCAGGGGTGGGGGTATATAATATGCGACGCGCATAAAACAAGTCATCGAATTATTCGTGCATCGGTGTCGGATGGTAGCATAGAGAGAGAGAGAGAGAGAGAGAGAGAGAGAGAGAGAGAAAGAGAGAGAGAGAGGGCTCGTAAAAGGGTTCGAATCTGGTTTTGACGATGGAGTAATATGGCAACGCAACTACGCATTTACGTTTTGAATAGGATCGATAAACGGAGTAGTAGGGGTAAAAGGAAGAGGAAAGGGAAGAGGGAGAGGAGGATATGACACACTCTTCAATTTCGTTATTGCGAATTCATCCTTTCTGTTGCATTCAAATGATTCATTCGTTCGTTGAAATTATATTGAAGAAAAATATAGATAAAAGTTCGTCATATTTATTATAACAATTGAGGAAAATGAAATGAGTTGATATGAGATGAGATAATATGAGATAATATGAAATGAGATGAGATGAGATGATATGAGATCAGATCAGATGAGATGAAATGATATGCGATTAAATGAGATGAGATGAGATTGTAGGACGAAGTATGTTCGAGTTCGACCTTGACATGGTCCTATATTTTGGGGTGTACGTCGTATATGTATGTTTGTGAGTACAAAGTGAAGGATGACTAGTAAAATAGTCGGCTCCCCTTACGAACTCGGCTAAGTGCCTGCGGCTTTCCGAACGAGCAACCATAATCGAGCCTTCGTTCTCTCTCTCCTCTCTCTCTCTCTCTCTCTCTTTCTCTCTCTCTACACTATTATATTTTAATCGAAAGGACTTGTGTTGCCACTGGTTCTCCGGGATTACATCAGCACGAGTAAAAAAAAATAAAGTTCGAAAGAGGGATAGGGGAGAGAGAGAGAGAGAGAGAGAGAGAGAGAGAGAAAGGACAGGACGTTGTGTCGAAAGGGTTAATTTAGTTTAAGGGGGTTGGGCTTCGACGAGTATACTTCGATAGTTAAACTACCATCAGCTCGTTGGTTACGATGCTAAACGGTTAAGTTATCATCCCTTTTTTCTTTTCTTTTCTTCTTCTTTTTCTACTTTTTACTTTATTTCTTTTCTTTTTTTTTGTTCTTCTCTTTTTATTTTTTCATTTGACATTTTCGTGTCCCTCGAGACAGAGACAGAGAAGAGAAAAAAAAAACGTGTAACATACGTATTACCGGTACAGGTCGTAAGAGAAATAAAAAAAAAGGTAAAGGGATCCTCGGATACTTTTCTTGTTACGTTCTACGTCAAAGAACGATCGTAAAATCGTAAAGTCTCTTTTCAAGGCGACCTTTAGATGTTTAGCTTTTCTAACATACAAAGAGACAGAACCTCTAGAGCATGTTGGTAGTTCAACGAGAACTTCGAATACGAAGAAAACGAGACGAAAGGAAAAAACGAGAGAAGGAGAAAGACAAAAAGGTGGAAAAATAAAGAAATGGAGAAAAAGGTGGTAGTAGGGTAGGGTGGGACGTGACCCTTTATGGTGCGTAGTACGAGAATTACACACAACAGTTTGTATGAACCAGAATACCACCGTAGCAGCAGCAGCAGCAGGCTAGTCCTTGTTCTTTCCTTCTTCTCAACCAATTTCTGTGTACCTTTTCTGACATGGGTTAAAGAAAAACTGCTGCTGTTCGTTTTGTGTACCAAGAACGAATGGAAATAAAAAGAGGGAAGATTAGGGGGGGGGTCATTGTGGTAGTTGTATGTATATTCGTTGTTGTTGTATTATACTTCATGTACGAGAGAAAGAAAAAGAAAAGAAAGTATTGTTCTGTAATTATTTTGATTAAAATTAACAAATAATGTTAGTTTACAGAAATACCGTTTATAGTTTAGAAATGTTTCGTCAAACTTCGATCATTCTTGTTTCTTGAAGTAACAATACTAACGTTTCTAAAACTTACTTGCTCAAAGTTATTAACCAGGAACACTTAAACACAATAGAACAATGTGCGTACGTGTCTAAGTAAACTAATCGCAACTTATATGAATACTTGTTTGCGTATATTCTTTTCCACAATAAGAAACACGTAGACGACGATTCATTCCAAGAGAACTAGTTTGTTTCTTACGATTTATACGACGAAACAAATTTTAAATCAAAATTCAATTTTCCATTATTATCTCGATTTAACGTATTGTTATTGAGAATATTTGAATAGTATATAAAAAGTCTATATAGTTCTAATAACATTAGGTTTTGCGACAATTAAATTTTTGTCTTTATTTTTAAAATTTTAACAAAGAAGAATAAATTATTTATTAATTTGTTAATTTTTATTGAATAAAATAAACTTCTAAAAAAAAATAAACCGACGTGAAATTTAGTTGCCAATGAATTATAGAATTCATATACACATGAAGAATATATTTTAAGGATATGAAAGATAGGGGAAATCATCGATTGGTGATTACTATTATGATGATGATTCGGAAACTAAGCAACGTATTCCCACAGGCTCAGGATATTACTGGTTGGTCCTTCCTCCCCCTTATAACAAGAGAGACAGAGATATATATATATATATATATATATATAGAAGAATGATATTTTCGATCGAACTAAAACCGGTCCGGGGATATTCCGGTTTCCAATTGCGTCGCATTTCGTTTCAAACTCGCAACCCTCTAACGACGTGACGAGAAAGAGACAGGGAGAGGGAGAGAGGGAAGAGAATGATCGTATGCGTAGTACAGAAAGGAGGAGAGAATAGGAGGAGTAGGAAGAGAGGAAGAGACCCTCAAACGTATCCCTTTTGCCGTAGCAATGTTGGCAGGGAACAACAACGAGACTCGGCCGGTGGCGGGTTTTAGTGAGGGGGGGTATGTATATGCGTCTCTCTAACCCTCTCTCTTGCTTCGAACAAGGGTGCCAGAGCCACCCACCCTTCTACGCGAATTGCAAAATGCAAGGTTTGCCTTTTGCTCGGTGAATACCGATATGCAGGCAACGAACAACCTACTACTACCATCACCAACGCTTTCTCTTCCCCTTACACCCCCATACTCACCCCCATATGTGCGTTTAGTTACGTCGCTTTTTAAAAGCCCGAGATTGTTGTGGCGTGAATTGGAAATCAGCGGATATTCTTTTTCTTTTCTCTTTCTCGTTCTTTTTTTTTTACTCTCTTTGATATATGTATCGTTTTTATATATATATTTTTTTAAGTGAAAACTTCTTTAAAGGGGGGGGGGTGATTTGAAAAAAGCGAACGAAAATCCATAGTAACGGCAATGAATCGATAACGGCTACGGTCATACAAACACATACATCTACAACACTTGGTAGTCAAGAAAATTAAATAAAAAAAATAAATACAAATTTATAAAAAACATTGTCACCTTTTTATCTCTCTTCCTTTCTTTATTTATTTTATTTTTATTTATAAAATCTGCTAAATAGATCATTAAATGGAATTGAGAAAATATATCGGTCAGGATGTAATGGATCGAATTTTGACGTTTATGGTCTATGGTATCGAGAC